TAGCAGGGCTGCTTTCAAAGAATTAGCTTTTCCTAATTAACAATGTTACTTCAGAAAATCCATAACCAGTTTTAAGGAACACTGTGTTTAAAAGTGATGCAAAACTCCTCACATGGGGGCCTGGGAGTACATACTGCTTGTCAGTAACAAACACATCATCACCTGGTGGTAACTAGCATTTTATCAACAGCTGTCAAAAGGCACAGGTCAGCAAGACCAACACAGGAAAAAAACAGGTGTTGATGCAGGTATCCCAAATTGGAGGTCTGTAAGATAAGGAGATGATAACATGAAGGGTTTTTTTTTTTTTTTTTTACAGAGACTAGAATTACTGGAGGCATCAATTAGTCACATGGATATGCACACAAGAAAGTGTGTTCTCCCTGGTTGCAAATGAGACAAGAAACTATTTGCAAGGCAATTTGTCTGTTGCTGTATTGTCCCCATCATGGTAAAGCTCAAAAAATTCCTGATCAGGTTAGGAAGCTGATCCCTACTGACTACTAACAGCTTCCTGGCATTTCCCACTAGCTATATCTGCACTGTATTGCTGATGAGATGCATTTCCTTAGGTGTCTGGGAAGTGAGCCACTATAAAAAGATTACTATGGAAAAATCTATTAACACTGCTGTATACTGACTGCACATGTACAATAGTTTAGGATCCAGGAGCCATGGAATTGCCACTGGCTGGTTTAAGAAATGCAGTAATTAATAAAAGATTAAGTGTCTTCACTTGGATGAATGGCAGGCAGGGATATTTGCTCTAGATAGTGCAAAAGCATATTCCTTACCGAGGATATAGGGTAATCAAACCAATAAACCAATACTTCCTTTAGTCCATGTTTGTCAAATGGTACTTTCAAGCCTCTGACTTATTTCCTTCACAGTGCTCTTTTTCCCTTGCAGATCAAAGTCTGCCCAGATTTTAAACATACTTGTTAGCCAATTGCCATTCAGAAACGTCTACATCCTTTTTTAACCTAGTTCAAGCAAAGCCCAGAATGTGGATTTCCTGTTGGAAAGCTGATCTGCAATGACTGAGATCAGTTGTTGAGCAGTTGGCTCATCAAGAAAGAATGGTCTTGTGGATCAGACAGTGGGGTGACTCTCAGGAGATCAGATATCGTACCTTGCTCTTTCAAATCCTTCCTGTATGATGGCCAGATTGCTTAACTCTGTGATTTAGTTGTCCCATTGCTGTTGCTTCATGATAGTACTTGTCTACTTCCCTTGGGAAATGCTTGTATATTATAGTGATGCTGACAAAAAAATAACCTAAATACCTAGATAACTCCTGACATAAACTTCAGTGCTACAAAGATAGCAGGACCTTCACAGATACCTTCTCTCAAAGTTAGTGTTTTCTCTTTGGAACTGTTTAGCTCCATTGTTTCAATTCCAGGCTTTTGCTATTGCTGAAATGTTTCATTTATGCCAGATTATAAATCAGATTGTAACTAATGGAAACAGCAATCTTATTTTTTTCCTATCTATTTTCAAATGCAGGAAATAAGCTCCTTGGAATTTTTAACCAGTCAGACGTCTTTCTAATTTCATTTGAACCATTTCTCTGTAGGCAATGTTAAACAATTGCTATGGTCCTTGTCAGATATTTTAGTAGTGAGCTGGTCCTACATAGAATGAATGTGTCACGTATAGAATTAGGCAGGCCTTCACATGGCTCCCTCACTGAGGGTAGCAATCTCTCAGGTGCATTTCCTTGTGTATGAGACTCTATTGAGCTCATTCTTTGGATGTGTTACTGCAGCAGAGGAACACAACACCAGTGAACTTGGTTTTTATTCTCATCAGCGACTTTGTAGAGGATCCTGTAATTCTTTTTTTCACTGACTTAAAGGTGGCAGATTCCTCTTTTGGTCTATGAATCAAGAAATTTTACTTAGTTTAATAATAAAAAATTCCCCCTTCTTAAATTTTGCATTAGGCTGGATGAGTCACTGGGAAATCATGCTTCTTTTGCTGAAAATTGTAACTACCACTCTGCTGTAGAAGTTGTTGAACACACTGGAGCTTCAAGCAAGAAAGGTCTTTACTATTTCCCATGTAAAGAAACACAAAACACCAACCTTTCCAAATATGCAGACTTACACAGGTAAGTTCTCCTCCTTAGACCAGTCTATGCTATTTATCAGAAAGATGAGGGATGAAGTTTTGATGTTTTTACTAGTTCCCAGCCAGCATGGTTCACGCAGGATTGGTTTGAGGGTCTGTTATATTTTCTGATACAAAGTTGTAGAATTTTGCCTCTTCTCACAGATTTTCTTCAGATCACTTAAGAGTGGCTTTATTGCTCAGCTGCTTAATCCCATCAGCTGCTTCCAGCTCCCAGAATGAGGAACTGAGTAAGTCTGTTCCTCTTCAGTAACAGGCATTTTTTTTCTTAATCACTGGGAGGAGACCACTGAGCAAATAGGTCAGAACAATCTGCATTCTCTACTATGTCTAAAACCTAGCTCGCTCCTTTCTGAAACTGCATTTCTACCAGCTCTGTGGGACTACTTGCTTAATACAAAAGCAGTGCATCTTCCCACTGAATGCTGAGTAGTGGTGTTGCCATAATACACTAAAGAATGGTTGGGTTTCTTTCTGATTTTCTCTCACTGAGGTACTGTGAAGGTCCTAATGCACCAAGATCTAGATTGACCTAACTAATGCTCAGAAGCCTGTGGTGATATGCTGTCTTCTTTATCTTTTCACATATACAGCATTTTGGTTGTACTTATATCACCTGAAAGAGCTAGGAAGGCAAAGACCCATTGCAGTTGCCTGCCACCCAATATACTGTATTTGCTAACATACTTAGTAGAGGTTATTTAAGGAGTGCACTTGAATCAGGAAAAGTACTTCTCTGCATGCTTTTCCTGCATGTATTTCTGAAGCTCCTTGTACAATTTGGCTTTCAGGTAAGTTTTAGGTAAGTCCATGGAGGGTCCAATGACTTTTGTCATTTAGGCAAAGAGGCCTAAGAGCTGGCAACATCAGCAAAGAGATTGTTATTTTGCTTCAAATTATTCAGACATTTACAGTGAAAGGTAGAAAAAAAGATGCTCCTAGTACAATCAAGGTATCATCTGCAACGGCCTAAGTGATAATGATGGCTTTCTTCCAGAGTATTGTATATTCTTGGAACATGCAGAGCTGCTGCCATGACTAGAAGGGTGGGACATACCATTTTTTTTTCCCTTTCCTGCACATGTGAGAGGAAGAAAGAAAAAGGAGTTTTTAAAGTACTTTTCAAATCTTGTCAAGGCAAGAACTTCAGTTAATATTGCTTGTATAGGAATAGTAGGAATGTACACAAAGTATCTCAGAGAAGATTGGTAATAGATTAGTAGCATTTTTATATAAATCCAATAAATAATTATGGTCATGTCTCCAAGATTTTAAGTCCTATGTACTCTTCAGTTTACCTCCTAAAATTCCCAGGGAAAGCAAAAATTGGCTGCTAGAAGTCCACAGTCGCAGGACTTCTTCCTTAATCTTCTTTGCTTGTGCACTGTAATATTGTATTACCATGTAAGGACATGATAACACCATCATTCCTTAAGATGTTCAGCTCACCAGGGAATGTGGCAAAAGAATGCTTTGCAAAGTGTCACTGTGACACCCCTACCCAGCTTAATACTTTTGTCAGTACCATTCCACATTGCACAGGGAGAGTCATTATGGGTGTGTAATAATAGTGACACTGGAGCTTCCCCCTACAGGTGCCTATTCAACTTACTTAAATGCTTGGGAATTGGTACAGGGATGTAAAAGAATGGATTTTCATGTCTCAGAAGTATAGAGTGGTAATGTAAACTGAAAGGTTTAGTACTACACTAAGTAGTTGGGAGGGGGAATAATTAAAACTGAAAAAAGGATTATTTTGGTATTTTATATGTTCTCATCCTGCTCCTAATTTTGTTTGGATTGTATAGTACTGACAGTATTGAAATTAAAAGCTTTGACTAGATTTTTTCCAGGTTTTACAAATCCTTTTTCATAATTTCCCTTTTAAGAGTAAGAGTATACTTTAAATTCTTAATAATTTCTCTGAGAGGAAAACTGCTTTCTATCAACTGCAATTTTCACCTTCATGGTTTGTAAAATAGGAACTTCTCCCCTTAGAGACTCTCTGTCCCCACCTTTGATGTGTTATCATCCATATTCTCAATTTTCTGGATGAATTCAATTTTCCCTGTTGCATTCAGTTGTCTGAGGAATTTTACACTTTCAAACATACCTTATAATTAATTTTCCCTCTTTTCTAAACCTGTCTTGTTGTCCCATGTCTTCTTTTTTGCCCTGACTGCCTTAGAATGCTGTTCACATGAATAATTCTCCTTTTCTCTGTGTTTTCTGAGTACCTTCTGATTTGACATTAAAAGTTCCCAAGTAGTGAGTGGAACAAATTGCAAAGAATTTGTTGAGAGTGGGCTAGGCTTGTGGGATTGATCATGAGCGAGGCCTGAGAAGAGGGGGAGAAATGGCAAGAAAACTACAATGTGACATTAAAGATCAGCAGAGTGAATCAATCAGCAGAGTGAATTGATCAGCATAGGTTCTCAATACCTCATCTCCAAAAGTTCTAGCTGCTGCTGGGGAAAAGGTGTAAAGAGGAATATGCTGGTGAGATTATTTCTGTCCATGTAGCTCATGACAGAAGAGTGCCCTGGCAGCAAACAGGGCTGGTGCTATCTGGGGCTGTATTGACAGCAGCACTGCCAGTAGATAGAGGGGAACGGCACTACTGGTTTTTACTCAACACTGCTCAGACCACCTCTAGAATACCATGTCCAGTGCTGGGGTCCCCAGCACAAGGAAGACTGATAAATTTGGAAAAGTTTGGTGTGAGACCATCCAGGTGTGATGGGACTGGAACACCTGCACTGTGAGGAGGGGCCAAGGGAGCTCCCTTTTTTTGGCCTGGAGAAGAGATACCAAATTGCATCTTTCGAACACCCACAAGGAGGTTATTGAGATGATGGAGCCATGCTGTTTGCAGTGGTGCATGGCGGTAGGATCAGAGATGGCAGCCAGAGGCTGAAAGAAGAGCAGCTCAGGCTGGGCACAAGGTAAAACTTTTTTTCTCGGAGGACAGTCAAGAGGCAGAGCAACCATGTAACTCCTGGAAGGCCGTGCCATTTCCATCCTCAAGTCCAGAGAAGGGTAACAAAGCTGTGAAAGGGTCAGGAGAGTAATATCCACTCCTATGAGGAGCGGATGAGGGAACTGGGATTGTTTAGCCTGGAAAAAAGGCTCAGGGGAGAGCTTACCACTCTTTACAACTACCTGGAAAAGGAGGTTGTAGGCTGGTGTGGGCCAGTTTCTTCTCCCAGGCAACAAGTGACAGGATGAGAGCTTGTCTTAAGCTGTGCCAGGGGAGGTTTGGGTGGGACATCAGGAGGAATTTCTTCACAGAAAGGGTGATTAAACATTGGAACGGGCTGCCCAGGGAGCTGGTGGAGCACCATCCCTGGAGGTGTTTAAGGAAAGACTGGATGTGACACTTAGTGCCATGGTCTAGTTGTGACAAGGTGGTGTTTGATTAGACTCTATGATCTCGGAGGTCTTTTCCAACCTAATTGATCCTGAGATTCTGTGGTTGTGTTTACAGGACCTGGCAGGACAAGGCCCTGAGCAGCTCAGTCCGGCCTCAGCGCCGACCCCGTTTGGAGCCAGAGGGGGGACCGAGGCCCTCCTCAGCCACTCCCAGCCCTTGACGCTGTGACCCCACTTCTCTGCAGGCGCCCCCTGACAGCAGTCCCTGCGCAGCCCCCGGGCCGGGGCAGCCGGGCCGCGGGAGCGGCCGCCGGAGCCACCAGGGGGACCCCGCGCCTCAGCCGGCCGTGCCGCCGCCGCAGCTTCTGGATTTATAGGATAAAATTGACGCGGAATTCAAATAAAACTGATGTGGAAACCAAAGGGTGCCGGAGTGTCCGTGCGAGCGGTGCGCACGGGCGGCCCCTCCCTCAGCGGTGGCTGCCCGGGGCTGCTCCCCTGGCTCGGGGAGTCTGAGGGGGTCGGGGGAGGCCGCCGGGGCTGCCCGGGGTCTGTAGGTGCTGCTGGTCAAGCGTTCCAGGAGGGCAAAGGAGAAGAAAGAGGAAATAAAGAGCCAAGCCCAGCGGTCTGACTAAGGACTGTCATTATCATACATAACTACATTTTCCCTCAGTGGTGTACGGCCACTGCAGCTGTTCGTGTTGGAGTTTAGAGCGGCCAGCTGCAGTCAGCACCCCAAAATTACCCCGCAGATGAGTGTCTGGGATGTGATACCCTTGAATCCAGACTTCTGTGCACTTTTTGCCCATGAGAGAAACCTTAGGAGTAGTAAAACTGATACGAGAAGATAAGTATGTGCCATGGCTCCTATGTTCTGGGATCAAAAGCCTGCTTTGCATTACTTTAGGGGAAGCTGGGGTTTGATGTTTCAGTGTGTTATGCTGATGGAGCATTTTGGTATATTGCTTCATAAAACCTACTCTGTTCCTATACTGAGTTGTTTTTATACATTTTCTGCTCTGGGTGCATACATAATATTGAAGGACTTAACCACTGACCTAATTAAGGAAGAAACACCTTCCTAAATAGTCTAATTGAATTTCTGTAAAGGCTTAGGTCTGCAAAACAGCTTTCACTTCTGCACACTTCTAGCCTGCTTACCCATGATTTTAAAGATGTTAAGCAATAGCTTTGCCTTTTAAGTATAAGCTCTAACTGTAGTTTAACTAAAGCTGAAGAAGAAATTAGTTGTTATTGAGGTTTTTTTATTTTAAATTATCTTTTCTAATACAGCTGGACAAAGATGACTCGTCATATGATCTGTTGTTATCCATCAGTGCAATTCTGCCAGTTTAAGCCCATCCAATCTGATCAAATCTCAGCTGAGACACTCTCCAAACAGTGGTTGGACAGTGGATCTTGCATGGTATCCCAGGCATAGAAAGAAAAATCTCTGAAGAAAGAAGATCTCAGAGTTTTAAAGTCCTCTGTGTCTGGGTGCCTGATCTGTTAGGAAAAGCTCGGTTTCTACCTCGCTCACAATATGCTCTGTTGCCATTGGCAACTTGAGTAATAGAAGCTGTGGCCACTGGTAATTCTTTTAAAAAGCTATCTAGCGATAAGGAATATGATACTGAGCCTCTTCTCTCCTTGGGTTTGTCTTGGCTTTTCTTTCCACTAGAATCTCTTGCTAGGTATCATAATTTGTTTTCCCTCTAATATTTTGTTAAATCAGTCCCCTTCTATTCCACAGTACAAACATGTAGGCATATATGTATGTATATACTGGATCTTTCATATCCATTCAAGAAACCTGATTACTCTGACTCTTAACAGCTTCTCTGTCCCCTTTCCATGCATCGGCACATGCTGGGAGTTGACAAGCTAGAAAGCAGCTTTGCAGGAATAGACCTGGGGGTCCTGGTGGACACTGCACTGAACGTAAGTGACAAAGAGTACTAATGGTATCCTGGACTGCATCAGGAGGAGTGTTGCCGTCAGGTCAAGGAACATGATTTTTCCCCCCTACTCAGCATCGATGAGGCCACACCTCTAGTACTGTGTCCAATTCTGGGTTCCCCAGTGTGAGTCACTCAGCAGGAAGGATCTCCAATCAATTCAACTGTTGGAATACCAGACAGATTCATCAGGTCCTTTCTTCATTTTCTTCATTGTCTGTATAGGTTGAACTCCATAAACTTCACGTTGTAAACATGCTTTCTAGAGCCTTAGTCACTTTTTATCACTTCTTTTCTAATTCTAATATTTTAACATCTTTTTGAGATATGACTTATGGTTCTGGATACAGTAGTGCATTTAACAGTGCAAGGTAAAGAAGTAAGATCTCTCCTTTGCTTCTGTGTCATAGTCTCATTTTCACACCTGTACAAGTTAAATCAAAAGCATGTTTCAGAAGAGGGCAGGCAATATACACAGTGCATCAGCTGTGCATGTAGATATGTATCTGCAGTCTGAGCTATCCTCAACTCATCTTTCTGTTTTTTCCTAGGTCTATGTCCTTCTGAAATAATAAGCATTGCTTATTAGAAATGGGTGGCTAGGGATAATTTTTATGATTTTCATTAGTTTCTTTGTTTTAGAGTTGTATTAACAAAAGTAATGGACAAAAAATATGCATGTGTCAGTATCAAGAAACCAGGAAGTGCAGGAAAATTTGATCTTGCATATCTGCTATAAATATCAGAAGTATGTAAGGAGGTATGGCACGTCAACAGCTGTAAGTGTACTCTGGATTTCTGGACTTCTGTGCAGAACCTCTCCTTGCTAGTGGCATGTCCGCTGTCTGGAGAGTAGCCTTTCCCAGCTTTCCTGGAGTCTGTGAAGCAGCTCTGCTCTTGATGCATGTGCACTTCCTGTTGCAAGCCAGCCCAGCGTATCACTCTTCTCCTTACACTTTCTCAGACCTCATTCATTTCCAAGTCTTTCTCAACTTCCACCAACTTTCTTGTCTTATTGTAGATATTCTCCTGAAAACCTTCTGGTAGTCAATCGTGAGATCAGAAAACATGTCTTGCTTAAATCCTTCCCTGTCTCAGCATTATGGCCCTCCTAGTGCAGAAAATGGAAAACCAAAGAGAGATCAGTTATGAATTATGACAGTCCAGCGTTCCAGTGTAGAGAAGTACTTAATATATTTTTTTCTTGTTGCCTTCTGAGTTTGGAAAGGAGAAAGAAAAAGAATTTGAAACCAAAACATAGAGGTAATACACACAAGAACTAGATTTTTTTAATAGAGTTACCATATTTCTGTGGTTAAATGTAACCTCCAGTAGCAAATACTTCACATGAAAGGGTAAAAAATCCACTAAGGGACATTTGCCATGAAATACTTTGTTAATGACAATCTTGTCAGAAGTGACTGTGGAATATTCTGGAAATGCAACACTCCACTGTTCCGTCACCTGTTAACCATAGCAGCAGCACTGGTGACATTAAGGAATTTACAGTAAAACTAATTGATTTTCCTCTTCACTAATGACCTGGATGCTGGGAGCAAGTGTACACTCAGCAACTTTGAAGATGATGAAAACTTGGAGGAGTGACACACCAGACAGTCATATGGCCATCCAGAGGGATCTCAAGAGGCTGGAGAAATGGGCAGGGAGGGACCTCAAAAAAAAAAAAGGAAATTCAAAGTCCTGCACCTTAGGAATAAGAATGCCATTCACAGGTACAGGCTGGGACAAACCATCTGGAAAACAGCTCTGCAGAAAAGGACAGGAGTGGCCTAGTGGACAAGTTGAAGATGAGGCAGCAGTGCGCCCTCGTGGCAAAGGCAGCCAACAGTATCTGGGCTGTGTCAGCGAGAGTATTGCCAGCAGGCTGAGGGAGGTGATCACTGGTGAGGCACCACCTGGAGTCCTGTGCCTAGCTTTGGGCTTCCTAGTAGGCAAGAGACATGGACAGTGGAGAGAGTTCAGTGAAGGACCACAAAGATGATTAAAGGAGTGGAGCATCTCTCATCTGAGCAAAGGCTGAGTACCCCGGGACTGTTCAGCCTGGAGAAGAGAAGCCTTGGAGAGATCTCATCAGTGTGTGTAAGTGCCTGAAGGGAGGGTGCAAAAGAGACCGAGCCAGGCTCTCGGTGGCGTCCAGTAACAAGCCCAAAGGCAATAAGCACAAACTGAAACCCAGGAGTTTCCCTCTGAACACCAGGAAACCCTCTTTTACTGTGAAGGGTGACTGAGCTCTGCACCAATTTGCCCAGATATGTTGTGGAGTCTCCCTCCTTGGAGATATTCAGAAGCTGTCTGGACATGGACCTGGGCAATTTGCTCCAGGTGACCCTGCTTGAGCAGGGGAGTTGAGTTGGACAATCTCCCTATGTCCATTCCAGTCTCAGTTATTTGGTGGTTCATTGCTGGTTAATCAGTGAACCTGAAGCAATCTTTCACAACTCTAAGTCTGATGACAGGATTTTACTTTAGGGCATTGGATACTAGTTTAACACACCTTTGCCATTTCTTTGTTAGTATTTTCTGCAATTCATAATGTTCCACCTGAAAATAAAGGAATGGTGTTTTTAAGTGAAGTTGTTACATGCTGTGGTACATAGAGGTGTATGCTTATTCATTTGCTTGCCATGTTTATAGAGTCACTGAATGACTGAAAGTACACTGCCAAAGAAAAAAGTGAAGTGTGTGAGGAGAGAACCTGGAAATCTGAATGTATCTGTATAGAGGACAAAAATACCAGCACATCAGCCATGCTTTTCCTGTGCCTTGCCACTGTGCTCATTACACCTGCTAGTGCAGAGGATTAATGCATTTGAACAGAAAGAGACAAACTCAGATTTTTCCCTGAAGCCCATCTGCTTTTTTCCCCTTAAATGTCTTTAACTGCAGGAGGGAATTAGAGTTGATTTTAAGAGCAAGAATAAGAGGAGGTAGAGAAATTAAGCAGGTAATAGAAGAAGGTTGGCAGCCTAAAGTAGATGGATGGCAAGGAGGAAAACAAACAACTTCACCAATTAGGAACAAATTAATGATGGAAGGGAATTGTCAAAGGATAAACCTAACTCACCATGTCACTTTTTCCGCTAGCTGCAGCTACAGATAGTGACAGCAAATACTGTATTGGGGTGAAAAGCTCCCTCAGAGGTACTAAGGCATGTTGCAAAAACTGTTGAATTGCCAAGTGCTCGGAATTATTTTTTTCTGCTAAGTGAATGTGCTATAGGACTCTTGAGTCCTAAAATGGAATCCAGATCCCTTATCCATTGTGGAGGAACTGATTACTGTTTTTCTCCTATAGAAAAACATGAAAGGTTGGTGATGTTTTTTTCCCTCAGCGCGTAAAGCTGACCAGACAAGCAGCATATCAGAATGTGGGGACCAGCAGGAGAGTTCCAAGACTGTGAGTACAACAACATATGTGTACATGTGTGAATCTAGTCATATGGAAGACAAAAGTCCCCCAGGGCTCGTTGTTTGGGTAGGAACAAAGTAAGGTTTGACTATTGTTCTGACAACCTCAGTGTCAGTGAGGATTTGAGGTGGATGACTTGAGTGGGAAAGGAAAATGTTGAAAAAAAATGAACTGAATTACAGCATGTGTCAAAAAAAGCAGGAGAGACAACACAAATCTAGTGAGTGTCTATCTGATTTAGTATACCTGACTGTTTAACGCATGCACTAATTAAGGAACCAAATGGCATCAAGAGTTAGAGAAGATTATGTGACCCACTGGAGATATATCTGACAACCTCCAACATAGAATCAAAAATTTTCAGACTGCAGATTTGTATCTCATCTTTGAGGTGTATAGGTCAGTAGATCAAAGAGGTATGTACACACAGATCTGTGCACATAGAGGCGGCTCCACGGATGAACATATGAAAACCTCCAGCTGTGCCATTCTTGGTCATTTCATCAATACTTATTTTATTCATTTGTTTTCAAGAAGTAATTCTGGAAATGTTTCCTCTCTGAGAACACCAAATGTCAGTATTCCCCAATATACTGCTTTAATGGCAGGAGAATAAAAACAGCAACACAGAAAAAGACATATGTTTTAATAAATCATTAAATAAGTTTGCTAGCAAGTATAAACTTTTACATAAAAATAAAACCTTTAACTTTTAATAACATTTGAATGATATGAATCTGAATGAAGATATTTGGAATGTTAGTGTAATAGCTTAATAAACTGACTCCCAAATAGTTCAGGTAACTCAAAAAACCATGCATTTCTCTGACATGCTTGAAAAAAAGAGTAAAAACTGAGGTGGAATCTAGCAACTCACAATATCATTTAACAGAAAAGAATATTTGCATGCACGAGAAACTGTAGAGAATTTATGTCCCCAAATTGCAATTCTGAGCTGAAATTTGTCTTGAGAATATGATGCTTGTATCCCTGCTCTTTCTGAAAATGCCAGACCTACAAACACAATCAAGACCTCAGAAGAATTTTGTCTCAGTTCTGCTGTGTTCTTGCTCCTGAAAGATGTCAGTGCTGTTGAAGAATATAAGGTGCAGAGGTCATTCAGGATTGGAAAGCTGGCACATTCTGAGTGAAAAAGAATCTTTTCTGAAAGGTAAAACTATCTCCTATGGCTGAACTTACTACAGTGTATGGATTGCTCTATCTTCAGTTTTGAAGCAAAATTAACAAGGGGAGAACATAGTCAACCAAATTGGAATATGACCTACTCATGTAATATTTTTTCATTATCTGCTCAGCTTAATTTTGTATGTTTAGATATACACATGTATGAATGATACCTCATGCTTTCATTTTCTATCCCTGAGCAACATCCACCTGAACAACTACTACAGCATTTGGTCAGAATACGGAAGAACAAAGCATGGAAGTACTAACTGTCTGGGCACATAAAGCTTGGATGATATTAAAAAAAATTAGGATAATCAGAAATTATGTTTAAAGCAGGTATTGCCTTCAGATTATTTCTAGTTTCAAATGCCTGATAGGAATTGCACGACTTTTCTCAGAAGGTGGGGAAATGCCCTGAAGTTCCTCTTACTGGCGTGAAGCTTTACAAGAAAGTTACTGGTACACAGAGCCACACTGGCTCTGCCAAAAGCATTTGTGCCTCATGATTAGGCAGGGGAGTGGAACTAGATGATCTTTAAGGTCCCTTCCAACCCAAGCCATTCTGTGATTCTGTGACTAATAGCCTGCCTGTTTGCAGCAATGGTTATGATTCACAGATTGTGGCCCAACTCCTTCTCTTTCTGAGACATTCCATAACCTATGCAGCTCTGCTTTCTTCATTCACTGTCAGGATTTTACATTTTCAAAGAGCGCAATAAAAGATACATCAAAAATGTAGTCATGCAGAGAGGCAGAGCATCATATTTACTACCATCCTGGAACAAAAATAAAAACAGAGAACACTGGGCAGTAGGTTTCAGCCATTAGACAAAATTTTGCATGTTGTTCTGTAGGGCATCTGTGGAGGATTCTCGTTCTGGCAGAGACTCTAAAAACATAGGACCTCAGGTCCTGCTGTGTGCTGAGGCAGTTCTCTGTCAGTAGTCTGGCTGATGGCCTCAGTTTCAAGATGGATAGCTTCTAGACTGCTAGACTGACACCTAAAATAGATGAATATGTGATTTACAGAAATGTGATAAATAGGAGCTGAAAAAGAGCTGATAGTAAATGTTCGGTTATCTTAGAATTTGAAAAAAAGAATGAGGTGGGGATCAGGGCCCTTGGCTGTATAGGAAACAGGACTGATTGAGGAATGCATTTCCCTTTTGCTACAAAGAAGAATAGACTCTGATGTCAGCATGAGGATCCTTTCAGTGCCAAACAAACCCTGGACTGCTGAGTACTAGTCTTGGAAGAAAATAGAGAAATGCAATGCAAAGATCAAATTCTGTTCCTAGTACAAGATGATTCTTGTGTGGGCAGATGAAGTGTGTGGGCAGCTTGTGGTGATCATTCAGCTCTGTGATGATGGAGATCCTTGCACTTCACATAAGTTCATCCCTTCACCAGTTCCACCTTTCTTATAAGTAGTGATGGACAAGAAAGATTTATACAGTTCAATGATTTTAGGAGCCAAATCTACTCAAAATCCAGTAAAAAAAAGGTTGAAACTACAGGAAAAGGTGGTAAGCTGGTGCCATGGCAGCCTCACAGAACACGAAGAAGAAGGAGAAGTAGATCCCAGGACAAGAGAGGAGAAAGATGTTTTGACTTGGTGCAGGATGGACTAAGTTATTGTAGGAATTAAATTGTCCTACAGGAATTAAACTGTCCTAGGAAGTTTAGCTTAAGTCCAACATGAAACCTAACTTTCTCTCTTTACCTGTAAAGAAGGTAAAGGGATGATTACAAAGGGTAAAACCTATGACTTGAGGGATGGTAGAGCAGAATGACATGTAATAACTTACTCTGGTTGGTAGACAAGATATTTCTGATCTTCTTCAATATCACAAAACCCAGAAGAAGTGCGACCAGTACAACCACAGCTATAAGCGGGCCAGAGAAATTTATATTTACTTGTTCCACTTCTTTCTCCTGTATCTCTGAATAAGAAAACACAGAAGGTTCACACAGGAAATATTTAATTTGGTGACATTAGCTTAAACACTCTATTCCAAAGTTAAGTGACTTAGAAGTTTAGGTAAAGGCCCTCAGCACCCTTTGCTTTTACAGTGCTTTAATAGTGTCAATAAATCACTATGCATATTGTTTTATTTCCATTTCCAAAACCTAGAGAAACTATGAGGTCTTAATCATCACTTCAGCAACAGGAAGGCAAAGCACTCTTTCTGAGGTTTGGGTAACATGTGAGGGATCGGCAACATAATACAAGAGCCTAGGAGGCAGCTACTGTGCTAATGCTACTGTGCAAGTTCAAAGAACCTCGGATATGTTACTACTTGGTATCTGTTGCAAATGATAGTCAAAGCCTAATGAAATGCTGGAAGGGATGTGAAAGTAGCAGGGAATGCAAAGGACTTTCCCTCTGTTTCTGGTTTTTGTGTTTTTGAGGTTTTGGTTGGTAGGGTTAGCAGCTGATAAAGGTTCAGTTATTGCCAAACAAAACTTATGTTTATGTGGAGTTTCTGGTTTCTTACCATCTCTGCTTATCAGGTGACTACTTTCATAAAGCCAGGGAGGAGGGAATAATTGAGAAGAGGAGGATGCAGCATTATTGCTAATATAGCTAATATAGCCACGTCAACATTCACAAGGAATATGTAAAGCTAAACAAACCTTAGAAGACATCTGGATTGTATTTTAATATTATTTAAAAGTCCTAGAATTTTAAAAACATTAGAGGCAGTTTGCCATTGATAACTTTTTAGCTAAATTTATATTAAGGAAACTGCACTGTAGAAAGTTTTCAGAAAAAGTGGCAAGGTTCTTTTACATCTGCAGAAGGAAAGTGCATGTCTGTACTACCCTGGCAGGCTTTCCTGCAATGCTACCATTCCTGTTCCTGTCAGTTGAAGCACAGCTCTTCATCTTCAGCATTGTCTTAAAGAGACATGTGCAAGACAAACTTATGACCAAAGTGGGAATTGTCTTTATTTTGATGTGCTTGTGCCACAGTTTACAAACAAAAGTATGCCCTAAAGTGTCTTCCTGTTCCAGAAAATAAATAAAATACTGCTTTAATTTAGATAAAGGATCAGTCACGTGGAACCCTGAGATAATCCAACAGTAAAGTCATATTGAAACTCAGGTCCCCAGCTTCATCTTGCAAGAGGTGTCTCAAAAAAGACACAATCTCAGAGAACAAAAATCCCCAAATAGTCATTTTGGAATGTGCACTTCATTCTGCCAAATGTTATGAAAACCACCAGGAATGCTTCTAATACTAGTCCAAGTTTCATGGCCTTTACACTTAAACTCAGCACAGCCTATATGGCAGTTCGTGAACCAAATATGGTCCAAGGGGCTCTTCTGTTTTGCCTTCTGCCTTTCTGTAAGGAATGATTAAGAATAGCAGCTTGAGCACTTTAAACCATAAGAAAAAAACCCCTTTTTTACTGTCAGGGTAGTCAAAATCTGGAACGCTTGCTGAGAGAGGTTGTGGAGTCTTTATCCTGGGAGGTATTTAAAATTCAACTGGATAAGGCCCTGTGCTAACTAGTGACCCTACTTTGAGCAGAGTAGTTGAACTAGATCATTTCCAGATGCCTCTTCCAACCTCAACAGTTCTCTGAGTCTGTGAAGTGTCAACCTCTCTCAAAAGCTATCACCTCTGGAGGTTGCTGCCTAATCCAGATATCCAGGTTGCTTTGTTGCTACTACAGCATATTCTAGGGAAGAGATGAATAGGAATGATGTGTTCTGGATTGTGTAACAGTAGCCTTCCTTCTCTGTGCCCTCTCCTTGCTGTAATAAGATTTCCCATGTGGAAAAGAAAGGGAGTTCAGTGGCAAACAGATGGAGAACATACAACCCTTGTAACAAACTGCTACTACGAGTTAGGGTTTGTTCCCTGCCCTGACTATGCTGCTATTTGTGATCAGCTCTACTGCAATACACCCTGCTCCTACCCATGCAAAAATGGAATGGGCAAATGGAGACTCACCAATATGTAGTGGCGCTGAGACAAGGATTCCCAGCTGCTCTCTGAGGTGAAGCAAGCAGCTAATATTAGTGAGGCTGTTTGTAGGAACTGGGATATTCAGCTTGCTAGTAACATTGTACAGCTTTGTTACAGCATCCTGTGAGACGTCCATGTGAGGCATATGCTTGTATGTTGTGTTTTCATATGAAATTAGCCAAGTCATCTCCTTGGGCTCTGGATAACCTCCAACGGATGAACAGGAAAGATTCAAGTATCCATAGGGCTTTAGTTCCCCAGTGTGCAGTTGTGCTATCTCAGGTTGACTATAGTTGGCTGAAACAGACCAAAGAGAAAGCATCATGAGTCAGGCATACCACATTTCTGACAGTTCCTGTGAATGATTTAAGATTTTCAGGCAGAAACAACTCTAAAGAGTTTTCTTCAGGAAGACAATGGGTGTTCCAAGAAGGGGTTTTTTATGTGGTTTTTTGTTTGTTTGGTTGGTTTTTTTGTTTGTTTTTTTGGTTTTGTTGTTGTTGTTGTTGTGGTTTTTTTGTTTTGTCTTGTTTTGTTTTGTTGTTGTTTTGTTTTTGGTTTGTTTTTTTTTTTTTGGTGTATATGTAGACTTGTTGCTTCTTGTCCTCAGGGTGTTTCAAGGATGTAAGTCTGATCAGCAAGACAATGGGCCTCTATCTCTCCCACCTCCTTTAGACACATTGACACCTCAGAATAATCAAACCTGGTCTGCTTACTGGTAAGGGCTTAAGCAAAAAAAAGCAATGCTGCCTACTTTTGACCTCCTGAATGGGTAAGGGGAAAACCACAAACTTGTAACTGTGAAATGTAGAGAAAGAGATCATCTGAGAGAATTCAGATGGGGTAAGTTGGAGGTGCAGGGCTGTCATGAGCAGAAATATCCTTGGTGTCTGTCAATATTGTGAGCAAACATTTTGCAGCATATAAAGTAATTCCCTCATCTGAGCTAAGGCTTCCCTTAGCTTAGCTTTTTAGGTAGAAAAGACCATAGCATAAGGTTTTTTTACTTTGTGTCACTTGGTACTCATTGGAGTCAATGAAAAACACACCCGTTGCTTTAAAAACTGAAATTTCTCAGGCAAGAAATAGTGAAACAGAATTGGGAAGAACCATTTAAACATAAAATATGAATGAAAAAATAGAAGATTTTAACCACTACTTTCTCTTAAATAATCTCCTAAATATTCTCAACCAGGATTTTTCTGGTTAAAAGGTCACTGTAAAAATAGTAGACTCTGATGGGAAAGGAGAAGGAGAGAAGGTAGCCATAATACTGACTACATGTTGGCATACAGCAACTTAAAAAAACCAAACAACAGCCCCTTCCCAAAAATCAGCAACAAACCCCAAGAAACAGACTCAAGACTTCATTGAAAAGGCTTCATTATTTTAGTGCCAATAGGACTAAAGAAAATATGGAGAAATATTGAAGAAGGGGAAAAGGATTCTTAGAAAAATATGTGCCTAAGAGGGTCTTGCTCTTCTGAACAGACATTCAGTGTGCTGGATCCAGGATTTAATCCTTGCCCTACTGTATTCTTAACATGGATGAATGAAGAAACATGATGTTGCTTTTATTTGCTCTATCCTAGCACACAGGGAATAGGATTTAGTTTAGTAACTTAAATCTCCCCAAGAGACTCCGCGGATATGAAATCAAAATTGAAAAAGCCCCCCCTTTTTATACCCCAAAATTTAGTTAAGTTGTCCCTCAGGAAAGCTCAAGCTTTCTCTTTCTCCTCAAGGTCTGACTTGCTTAGCTGACTGCTGTCAGACTTCTGGCCTGGAGAATTTATTCTCTCCTTGATATTTTATAGAGATGGCAGGATTGTAATCCATGGCTGTGAGACTTGTCACATCATCGAAGTGATTTAAGGGTTTCAATCTTATTGACAGTAAGCAAGTGGAAATAGTGGAATATACTCGGCATTTCTGTTTTATAGCTTCTGGAACCTCAATTTACTGAAAAGTGATGTTGGTTGCATGCAGGGTGTGGACTACATATATGTGAGTTTGTTGTTGTTAACAGAAAAGCACATTTCAGAACATCTTTCATAGTTAAAGGTAGTATCTTCCAAAAAGGCTATGGGTTTAGATTATATACTTCAAGAGACAGCAGATCCATCAAGCCCTTACTATTTTTCTCAATGGCTTAATCATCCTACTTGGTTTTGTTCTATTTTCTCAAGTGACAATGTGCCTTACTTCTCACTTGCTTCCAGACACTGACTATCACTGAATTAATTAACCCTTTTAAAATTTTTTAATATCCAGTATTTTATGTATATTTCAGGTTCCCACACTCTGGAAACAAGATTCTTCTCATTATTCTGTGTTATAAGGTAATCAGATTGTTATTTTAACATCTCTAGTTGGACTGTATTTTTTCCAGCCTTCAGATAACTTTAGTAGAGCTTTTCTTCATACTTGACAGTTTTTCAACATCCCTTTTCAAATGAGGTCACAAACTGTAAGTCTCTTTTCTGACATCAGCTTAATTTCCAGCACTTTGAATAGTGCATATTTTGAACAGCTTCCCTAGCTTCACCTACTTCCCTTATTGATTCATCCAGAAGATGCACTGCAGACATGCTATTGCAGCAGATTTTCCAGTTAAGCAGCTTGTCATCATGGTCTCTACCTTGCACATTTTAAGAGCCAAAGTTTTCCATTGTGAAGCCTTCCCTTTTTTTCTGGGGAAGGATCTGAGTTCATTGTTATTATATGTCATCCTGGCTGTACACAATACATACAACATACATATTATAGAGTCATAGAATCTCCTGAGTTGGAAGGGACCCACAAGGATCATCAAAGGCCAACTCCTTGCCCTTCACCCGAAGAATCACATCATGTGCCTGGGAGCATTGTCCCAACACTTTTTGAACTCTGGCAGGCTTGGTGGTATAACCACTTCCCTGGGGATCCTGTTCCAGTGCCCAACCACCCTTTGGATGAAAAACCTTCTCCTAATATCCAATTAAACCTCCTCTGACACAGCTTCATGCTATCTGTATATGGTACTAATGTAATACATAAAAATAACCGGTGTAAACTGTATTAGAAGCTACTTCAGTATTTCTGAATAGGTTTGGTTATCAAGTGATCTAGATAGCTTTGTGTGACTGCCCTATCATTCTTGTACAGCACACAATCTTTCTGAAGTCCATTTTAAGTGCGACATGCCAAACTACAAAAAGCCCTCCATGTATGATATGAGATTCTAATTAAAAAACAGCATGTAAGCACAGGTACATTTCAACATTTGTATTTTCCCTTCAACATCTGTATTTTTCTTCTAATTATTTTGAAGGGATTTTTTTAAAATATGGTTTTATACTGCTCCTTTGTTTAGGAATTTATTGAACAAAGAGCCATTTGGAAGGAACCCAACAGCACATAGTTCAGACAGTCTTCCTGAGACAAACCTTACGAGGTGTAGGAGAGTCTTAGTGCTTAAATATGAGATATCTATAACATGTTGCTCAGATGTTGGCTAAGCTGATAACTGACTTAACTGTTTGAACTAATTGATTAATTGATGCTAAGCATCTCTTAAATTGGAGGCCTTGATACTGAGTGCACATTATGAGTTTCTGAGTCCTAAAACTTCACTGAAAATGCTTGTCAAGTAGATCCTGGGAGAATCAAAATGAACAATCTAGGTTTTCTATTTGTGGATCGAGGGAACACTTGCTGGTAACACAAAGCTAAACAGGCTCAGATATCCTGGTACTCCATTTTTGCCTGCAGTTACACATGGCCTGTTCTCTTTTAGATTAGTATGCTGAAGCCTGAAAACACCAGTGGAAGTTAGAAGCTGCTATTATTAATGGCTAGCACTATCACAGTGGAAGACAGAACACAGGCATATTGTTAAAGGTTGCTAACAGAATAGTTTAAAATAGAAAAACATTAGGATTATACATTAGGAATTATTAAAAATATTAGAAAATATTAGGAAAAGATTGGTGCCTCATTTCCATTTCCCTGTTAAAAGATTTACTGCCTTTTCCTCTTATTACAAAAAATTCTCTGGTGTAAAAAATCAGGTTGAATCTCATTAATGCATACATTTTTTTCTTCAGAGATATTTTCAGTTTTCCTTTAACTGCACATATGAATTTCTACTCCTCCATGCGAGCTGTTCTTTTCTTTATTTTCCCTGTGATTTATATGATCATAAAATAGCTGGGTGTTTGCAGAGATCTTGCTATGTTTCAATTCTAATGTACCACCAACGATGATAACTACTGCTACTTTTAATAGAAGGTAGTGCATCAGATGCAAAGAAAGTTTATTTTCCAGAGTCCTTAAAGTCATAAAACTTGCAGGAGGCAAGAGGAAGAAGGCAGAATGGTTTTCACTGTAAAATATGACAGGGTGGAAATCAGGGATCATGTAATGTCGAGCAAATTATTGCCTCATTTTCTACTTCTGAGTACTTCTACCTGAGTACTTTTCATTCACAGATAAGGATTTCCTATTGAGAATGCTCTTATCCATCTTTAGAAATTCTGCTCCTGTGCAGGTGCATTTTCAGTGGCTTGGAGGCAGGACCCATATTTCTGGACTGAATAAAGTCACAGAGAATCCCCCCAAAACCCTCCGAGCAGATGGCAATTGGAAGAGATTACTTACCAGTGACGTGCAGTGAACACTCAGATGTGTGTATGACCTTTGGCGGTCCTTCCTTTTTGTGCTGTACGATACACTCATAGTGTCCCTCATCCTTAACTCCTGCATTTAACAACTGCAAGGTCCATTTGTCCATATCCACCTTGGTGCGATTTATATACTCAGGACTAAGGTGATCACGTTTTTCTTCACCGTAGTATACTTCGTGCACCACTCTATGAGAACCTTTTTGCCAAAAAACTATTAAGTCCCTCATGTCAATTTTCTGAGAGTTTGGAAAATAGCAGGATAGGTATGCAGTGTGATTGAGAAATGCCTTCACCTGATGCACACTGGCAGCAATACCTTAGACAGAGAGAGAGAAAAATTGAGATTTCCACCAGCTACAAAAGAACACCAAGTTGGGCTCACAGAGGCAACACTTAATGGCAGTGGCAATAAAAACACCAGCATTTAGACACAAATTCTCCCACTAGGTATGACAAGACACGTAGTTGTTCAAACCAGCACACTTAGTCTTATGGAGTTCAGGTCGTAAAACTGTTTCTTATTTTTCTTCCTATATTTTACTTTCCCAGGAAGGTTTACCACACAGAGATTGGGAGCATCTATATTTTAGAAGACTAATCTGCAGGCCTAAGGTCCAAACCATTCTTGTTCATAGCATCCTGAGTGAAATGAAATTCTGCCCCAGAAGAGACAGCTGCACAACTCCTTTTTAAAAAGTTGAGTTCATTCTCCTAATAAAACAACACAGCATTGGAGTTTTGAAGAAAATGTAAAGTACACACAGTTTGGTAAATGTGAGTGTCTAGGGAATGTATGACCAGAAGGTCAGAAACAGGTGAACACTTTCAGTCTCAATGAAGAATTAATCTAAAGTTTAATGACAAATTAAATGTCAGATTTTACTGCTCTGTAATTAATCTAGAGTTTAATGACAGATTAAATGTCAGATTTAACTGTTCTGTTGCTGATCTTGTTAACAAAAATGGTCAATAAACAAAATTATGCCTTCCTGCAAAAAAAGGATGAACCATATTACACAAAGGATGAGTTTTCTCCCACTTTCATCCACGCACGTATCCATTTTTATGGGTGGCAAAGGGCTCTGAGGACTGTCTTTTCTTGGAATAAGAAATGCAGTCCTCTGCCCCAGAAGATGCAAACATCTCTGCTGTGTTCAAAACGTGGAGAAGATTTACAGTATCTCTCCTGCTGCAAAGTTTTGACTGTTCTTCTAGAGCACCAGACAGCAAAATGATCTCTGCAGATGCCTAAAACTCCAGTTGTCCCATATCAAACTGTCAGTTTCCAGTTTAATACTGCTCTTCTCTATAATACACACAGGTGATATACACACATTTTAAAGATAGATTTAAATTGAAAATTTAAGAGCAACATAAAATAAGTGTAATATAAAGATATAAAGTTGAAGAGAGAAAGTACTTACTATATATATTTTATAGAGTACCTGCACACAATTTAAATACAACACATAGGCTATATGACCTTGATTGTGCAATGGAAATGATTAATTATTACTAAGGAATGAGTTTCTTAGTGGATGAGATAGTATCCCATAGCAGGACACACAAAATCAAAACAGTTTTAACTATTTAAAAATGTGCCTTTTACCTGGGACAGATATCATAGCACAAAGGAAGAATACGCAGACCTCCATGACACTGTAAGAAGGAGGAAAGAAATATGTTAGAGGTTGAAAACACTCCAGCACTCCCAAAGAAATGGTAAACCAAAAAGTTTTAGCAAGAGAGAGAGTATTGAGAAAGTTACTCTCACCTTTTTCCATAGACTGGTGCAAGGACTTCTGTGTGTTTCCCAGCCTTCAGCAACAACATCAAGCATGGCATGGCAGATCTCTGGTTTACAGAGAAGCTGATGTGGTGCAAGATAACTGCAGACTGTGCATGCCATGGGAGGAACACAGAGTCCACGGGGTGCTATGGGCAAGACAAGTACTCAGAACGCCTGAAGCGGGGGAAAGAGGAATGGGGAGCATGCTTGACCTGGCAGTGTGGGAAGAAGATGGGGGAATTGAAAGTAGAGGGGGAGGAGAGGGTGACACAGAAGGAGGAGGTGGGGGAGACGGCGTGATGATGTCAGCTACCAGAAGTGATGAAGTGTGTGACCTTCAGTTTTGTAACAGGAACCTATCCTTCACAACAATAAAAGTAATGGAGAGAAATCCTGTACGATTGGAAAAGTTGAGGCTAAACAGCACATAGTTTGTGGTAAAGAAAAACAGGTATCTTTTTAGAAAAAAAGAAAAAAATCCTGTGATTTGTCTCATAAGCAAACACTTCTCTGGGTGCTTGGGTTCATGGTAAATCCTGGTAAACAGCCAAATGTCATTCCCATGCATGGTCAGAGAACAGCACCTGCATCTGACTGGTCTGTGCTTGCTAGTTTGCATTTGAGCAGCGCCTTTGTGTTTTTTGTGTGCATTTTCCATGTATTTGGGAGAAGCCTCTACACTATCCTTGCCAAGATCCTTCACTCTCCTCCTTTAAACAGCTCCAAAGAGTCCTGTTTTGCTGGAGCAGATATGAAAACTCTCCAGCTGTCATACTACTTAAAACCAGTGAGATTGCTGTCTGCTGTCAGTTTCCTGATGGTTCCCCATTTTTTGTCATGTTTTATTTCAGGCTGGTACACTTGGGTCTTTACCCTGGGTCTCTGGTCTCTTCTTCTATTTAATACAGAATTCCACTCAGCCCACTGACATATTTTTTGTGTGTGTACTGTAACGTACGGAACTGCCAATAATTTTTCCAGGTTCATCCTGCCTTTTCTTAGGAAAGGGGAAAAAGAAGTCCAACTGTCTCAGAGGATATAGATAGTTTTTTCTGTGATACAGCTGTCATAGCAGAAGAGGAGGAAAGGGAGGGAGGGCTCATGCAGAATCCATTGTTGTAGACAGGGGTCATCCTCTTTCTGCTCTGGCTGCCCTACTACATGGTGAACTGTTATCAAGGGGTTTTCTTCCCAGGCTGGGCTTCACTGAATTAAACCATGCAACTGACTGCCTAAATAAAAAGGCATGTGCCAAGCCACTGAAAACTACAGAAACTATTTCTCAGCAAATAAATAAGAATTTTTGCTTTCAGTCAAGAAAAAAATAAAGGATAGCCCTATTTTTTTTTTTTAATTCAATGCAGATGTGTAAGAGGAGAAGTTAAAACAATTTAGCAACTGGAGACATAAGTGGAGAGAATATACTGCTATAGCTGGGCATGTTTTGCAATGACTGTCTCACAGGAGCAAAGACCAAAACCGGAACTGAAAACAGGAGTGAGAGAGAGACAAAACCCAGGCCAGAATACCAGATAACGCTTGCCTTTCTTGAGGGGTTGTATTTGAGCTGTGAGAACAGAAGTCTCAAAGATCCTACATGGTTTCCTGTCTGCCATCTTCCAGGAGAAGGCATGTTGCTGGCGATGCTTGCATGAAGAAGGATCCCATGAGTCTGCAGATGGGAATTACACCCACATTCCCTGCAGAGGGGAATTGCTTGTCACTGAGAGTGTGACAAGCTGCTTCTCTCACATGAACTACTTTATAGAGAGAAGCTGAATCATTAATTGGGACACTACAACTTCAGTGCTGCATGCAGCTTTTCTTCCCCTTTTTTACAAAATGTCTTTAACAACCAAATGCAGATCCTTGGAGCCAGTGTTCAGGAAGGCTGAAGGAAGGGGAATTACACAGTTGGCTTCTTACATTTCTTTGGCATATTCAGTACAAATTCTGTGCTCAATTCTCTCTTATATCTGCAGGCCATTGAAAGTCTTCTTGTGTCCTAGAATTGATTAGCAATGGGGGCTAGGTAAGAGAGGAAAGATAGACTTAGCTTCAGGATATGGCCTCCTGCTGGCAAATGGTGCAGATCAAACTGCCCTCTTTGTGGCCATGGCCCAGTGCATGAGCACACTGCTCCACTTCAGAGCATTGTGGTCTGTGTATGGATGTGCAGTTTTCCTGGTCACAGGCTGAGTGCATCTGTTTGTGGAAGCAGCACTTTTTCATGATGCCAATGATAACTGATGAGATGAGAGTGGTTTGAAGACCTGTGGCTTTAGAATTATCTCTGACATTCAGAATAATGTGAGGTCAGTCCACGGGGAGGTACACATTTTCCCTTGCTAAATAAGGCTAGCTCTATGTGTTGTGTCTTTCTTGCCTTTTGAAGCTTTGTCAGCCATTCCTGGAGATGTCTTTATGACTCACAATTACAAATCATGTGTGGACATCAGAGATGAAAAATGGAGAAGTATATTAATTGAAATTCTGTCAGTACGCAGCCAGTAGTCACACTCAAACCCTTTATTTACTATCTCTTCAGTCCAATCACTGAAAGGAGAAGAAACCACATGAATACATGCACTTTACAGGCCTGATTCACGACCGGATTGGTTTGGCCCAAACAAGTCTGAGAAAACTCATGAAACAGTCCCCACTTGTCTCAGTACAGGGGGATTCCTGTCCTGAATCATAGATTCATAGAATCATAGAATGTTAAGGTTTGGAAGGGACGTTAAAGATCACCTAGTCCCAAGCTCCCCTGCCATGGGCAGGGACAACTCTCACTAGACCAGGTTGCGCAAGGCTATATCCAACCTGTCCTTGAACACTGCCAGGGATGGGGAATCCACAACCTCCCTGGACAATCTGTTTCAGTGTCTCACTACTCTCACAGTAAAGAATTTCTTCCTAATATCCAACCTAAATTTCCCCCTTTCAACTTGTACCCACTACTCCTTGTCCTGTCACCAGAGTTCCTGATGAAGATCCGCTCTCCAGCTTCCCTGTAGCCCCCTTCAGATACTGGAAGATTGCTATTTGGTCTCCATGCAGCCTTCTCTTCTCTAAGCTGAACAGCCCCAACTTTCTCAGCCTGTCTTCATAAGGTAGGTGTTCTTATCAACTTCCTGGCCCTGCTTTGGACTTGCTCCAACAGCTCAATGTCCTTTTTATGTTGGGGGCACCAGAATTTTACGCAATACTCCAGGTGGGGTCTCTCAAGAGCAGAGTAGAGGGGGCCAATCACCTCCCTCAACCTGCTGGCCACGCTCCTTTTGATGCAGCCCCAGGTACATGTGCCTTTCTGTGCTGCAAGCGCAGCACAGTTGAGTTTTTCATCAAGCATCACCCCCAAGTCCTTTTCTGCAGAGCTGTTCTCAATCACTTCTCCGCCCAACCTGTTGTGTCTGGGATTGCCGCAAGCCAAGTGTAGGACCTTGCACTTTGCTTTGTTCAACTTCACGAGGTTTGCATGTCACGGTGCCTCTGGATAACAAAGAACTCTAAAATCGATGTTTGGGAAAAACGGCGACTTCGCTCCCTTTACTTTTGAGGGCAATTGCCAGAAAGCTCGGTGTGACTTAGTTTGAGATTGGCGAGTGCTTTCCGTCTCCTGTTCCTCCCAATCCAGCATGTGAAACCCAGCATGTAAAACCCCAACAGGCACACTGAAGCATAAAGGTCTTGGAGTAAACAAGAGCTTTACCAATATGCTTGTCTGGGTTTTCATTTGCTCTCTTTTTTGCTGTTTTCAGTTTTGGATGTAGTCATTAACTTTTGAAAGACACTCACATCTGTACTCTTTGACTCCTAAGTTCCTTCACTGCCCCTCAGTTCCTTCCAAAATGTTCCTTTCTTGCATGGTCTCAGATGTAATTAGCTTATTTTCTTACATTGGGTACACATACTCTATGGGAAGGCTCCTGCCCCATGTTTCTTGTTGAACTCAAAACAAAACTAAAGACCAAAGTAGTAAATCATTCTTTTGACTTCTCTAATGTGGGGATTTTTCTGAAATTTCCACCCACTTGCAACACTGAGTAGTTCCACAAGCAGTGCTGTGAGCCTCCTGGCGGCAGAACATCTCTAAGACTTTCCACTCCTGACCTGAAAGCTACTAAATTAAATTATCCTAAAAATGCATTTACCAGCCTTCTCCCATGTAAACACAGGTTGATTGAACAAGTGTTATCAAAGGAAGTCACAATTTAAGAAAATTCTCTTAACGTGGCAAGTTTAGAGAATTCTGTGGTGCCCTTCACCCAAATACTGTGCCATACAACCATATAATATCCATCGAGGGACACATTTTAAAAAGATACCGTTACTCAGGCGACTTGTGTTTCCTATGTGCTTCTCCAGTTAGAAGGCGTCACTGTTTTAAACGATTGCGAAACTTTTCCTATTGCTCATTCTTTTAAAACAATTTTTTACACCAAGTTACATTTAAAAATTCTGGGCTTATTGTTTAATTATATTGTTATTATATGAAAAAATACAACTCTCTGTCCCCCTAATTTTTCATTTCTGAATGGATTTTTTCATTCTTTTCCATTATCCCCTCTCTAAGTAACATCCTTTTATTATATCCAAGATCTCCAGGAGAACCATGACTTTCACTATGATTCTGGGATAACTTTGTCCTAACATCTAGAAACTCCTCTTTTGATAGCAATTAAGAAACACCAATTATTTAAATAATACCTTTGGTCCAAAGATCATGGAGCATTCCACTGCTTCTGCAAGCAGAATTCTTCATCCACAAGTAGGGTGAGGTATCTCCGAGAGAGAGCACAGCGGCTGCCTAACGACACACAGTCCCACTGCACAAATCATAGGACACGAAAGTATTCTCCCTGCAAGCGAAACTGGGGGGGGAAATTCAGAGGGGAAGAACGTCATCAACCAGAATTAGACATTCATTAGGATTAGCTGTGGTGTTTGAGTTCCACCTAAAGGACACGTCAGGTTGACATATTTTTCCACACTCTAAGCTACATCTGGCCACAGAATTGGCAAGTTGCTTGAACCACTTCTG